TCCCTTCCTTCCCTTCCTTCCCTTCCTTCCCTTCCTTCCCTCCTTTCTTGACTTTATTCATTTATTTGATAGAGCACAAGCAGGGGGAGCGGCAGGCAGAGTGAGAGGGAGAAGCAGACTCCCCACTGAGCAGGGAATCTGATTTGGGGCTCAATCCCAGGACACCGAGACCACGACCCGAGCCGAAGGCAGACACTTAACCGACTGAGCCACCCAGGTGCACCCCTTCTTCTTCTTTAAAGGAGATTTAAGTGTCTGCCTTCCATTCGGATCATGATCCCAGGGTCCTGAGATCCAGCCCCATATCGGGCTCTCTTCTCAGCGGGGAGTCTGCTTCTCCCTCTCCCTCTGCCTACTTGTGCTCTCTCTGTGTCAAATAAATAAATAATCTTTAAAAAAATAAACCAAGGGGAATTTTATTTATTTTAAGTAATCTCTGCACCCAACATGGGACTCAAACTCATGACTCTGAGATCAAGAGTCACATGTTCTTCTGACTAAGCCAGTCAAATGCCCCTCTCTTACCTCCCTCTTCTACTTTTAAAGGCTTATGTGATTACGTTGGACCCACCCAAATTTTCTAGGCTGCTCTCCCTATTTTAAGGTCAGCTGATTAGTGCCTTAATCCCATCAGCAGAGTCCCCTCACAGCAATATCTAGTTACTATTTGATTGAATAATCAGGGGACAGGAATCTTGGGGGGAGAGGGGTGCGTCTTTGGAATTCTGCCTACCACAGTGCCATAATGTATCTACTTCAGTCTCTTTAAAAGTTTAGAAAGGGTGAATTAGCATTTCTGAGTCTGATTATTTGTGGGGTCCTGTTTAAGATGAGCCTCTAATGCTGAGAGTCAGATCCTGTCCATAATTAATCAAAGAAAATGCTCCTTACTAAGAGTTCTTGGCAGCCAACTGACTAGCCTTCCCCTACTGCTCTCTAAACACCTCAGTCTTACAGTTTCTCCACTAATTATAAGATTTGGAATAAGATATTTTTATATTAAACTTTATTTTACAGAGCAATTATAGGTTTGCAGCGAAATTGAGTAGAAGGTACAGAGATTTCCCTTATATCTTCTGCCCCAACACATGCATAGTCTCTCCCATTAACAACATCCCCCACGAAAGTGGTACATTTGTTATAACTGATGATTATAACTGATGAACCTACATTGACACCTCATTATCATCCAGAGTCCACATTTACATCAGAATTAGCTCTTGGTGTTACACATTCTGTAGGTTTATACAAATATATAGTGTCATGTATCCACCATTATAGTATTTTACAGAGTAGTTTCATGGCCCTAAAAATCGTCTGTGCCTTGCCTGTTCATCCATCTCCCCCCCCATCCCCGACCCCCAACCTCTGGCAACCACTGATCTTTTTACAGTCTCCATAGTTTTGCTTTTCCCAGAATGTCATATAATTGGAATCATGCAGTATGTAATCTTTTCAGATTTGCTTCTTTCACTTGGTAATATTTAAGTTTTCTCCGTGTCTTTTCATGGCTTGACTGGTCATTTCTTTTTAGCAATAAATAATATTCCATTGTTTGGACATACCACAGTTTATCCATCCACCTACCGAAAGACATCTTGATTGCTTCCAAGTTTTGGCAATTATGAATAAAGCTGTTATAAACATCCATGTGCAGGTTTTTCTGTGGACCTAAGTTTTCAGCTCCTTTGGGTAAATACTGAGGAGTGCAATTGCTGATCACGTGATAAGGTTGTTTAGTTCTGTAAGAAACTGCCAAACTTGTCTTCCAAAGTGGCTGTACCATTTTGCATTCCCAACGGCAGCAAATAAGAGTTCCTCTTGCTCCACATCTTCACCAGCATTGATATCAGTGTTCTGCATTTTGGCCATTCTGATAGGCGTATGGTGACATCTTTTCGTTTTAATTGACACTTCTCTGATAAGATACGTGAAACGTCTTTTCATATGAATAATTTTTTCTCTTTTGTCAATTGCAAAATGAATGAAGGGTTGGGAAAATGTGGTCAAAGTATCTATGACTTTGAGTTCATTTCACCAGCATATCAAATTATCAGAAAATTGATTTATTCTTCCCAAAGTCACACAAAAATGCCTGGAACCAGAACACAAATTTTTTCCTTGGAATTGTTTTCACAGTTCCTTATGGGATAACTCAATATAGGCTGGGTAGATGGATGATTATCCACTGTAGGAAAGCAGTTGTGCTCTATCTGTTCGGGGCACCATGCCTTCCGCATAATGCTGAAGGCACTGAGTTTCACTCCAAGGCCAATTAAGTCTTCTGATTACATCATCCTTTTCTCACATACTCAACACCCATACAAACACATTTCAGAATTTTGTCCTTTACTTTGGGGAGTTTTTGGAGGTTACTAATACTCTCTTTTTTCCTGCCAATCTTATCTATTCCCAGATAAGGAAAAGAAGAATCTTTCCTTCTGTAGGAATGATGACCAAATTTTGACTTTCTAGACATGAAGCCACCAGAAACTTGACTTTTTTTTTTTGCTTATGAAGCCACAGAAAACTTTAAATGGGTTTTAGTACTTTTGTCATCTCACAGTGCTATATTTTTGGAAGTTACTCATGCTGTGGTGGGTGGTGCATTAATCAGGTTTTCTGAGTTCTATGCTTATTTTTGTCTTATAATTCTTAGAACCTTGAACAAGTCAAGGCACCTCTTTCTGCCACACCCTTTATACCAGTGATTTTAAACTTTAGTGCCTAAGAATTACCTGGGAGCTTCTTAAAATTGTAGATTCCTAGGCCCTACTCCTAGAGATTCTGGTTAGTAAGTCTGAGATTGGGTCCAGGAATTGAATAACACTGATTCAACTTTAAGAAAAACTCCCTTATGCCCATTTATTTTTTGGTGTAGAAAGTCTTTCTTGTTTATCTCACAGTAAAGTTGGTGAGGACTAATTAATTTCCTAAAGTAGTTTTAGAAATAACATAAGCTCTTCAACTATGAGTTTTCTTATTTATATGTATTTATGCTGTTTGCCAGATTATGATGAATATAGACATAGACAATATATGACATAGACTTCTCTTCTGGATCTCATGGTACCTCATGTGCTGGGCCTATTCATAGTATGTACTCAGATAAAAATGTGTTGCTTATTAGCAGTGTAATTTCACAAGTCAGTTTTTTTTTTTTTTTTGGTCGTCAACAAAAGGTATAACAATTTTTTTTAAAGATTTTATTTATTTATTTGATAGAGACACAGTGAGAGAGGGAACACAAGCAGGGGGAGTGGGAGAGGGAGAACCAGGCTCCCCACAGAGCAGGGGCCTGATGCGGGGCTTAATCCCAGGACCCTGGGATCATGACCTGAGCCGAAGGCAGACACTTAACGACTGAGCTACCCAGGTGCCCCAGTATAACAATTTCTAAATGCCTGTGTAATCTGGAGACCTCTCCTGTCACCTTTTTAAAATAACTTATAGAAAATTTCAAAAAAACAAAATTTTATTTTTACCCTAAAATAGAATGGTGTTTTTGTTATCTGTTGCTACCTGATAGC